CGGAGGGGTCGGGATCTGCTCCAGGGAACAACAGGAGCAGGAAAACGGCCTCAGGCTGGGCCAGGGGAGGGTCAGTTGGAGATTTGGGCAAATTCCTGACTGGAAAGGGTTTTCCAGACCAGGCAGAGTTGCTCAGGGCAGAGGTGGGGTCCCATCTCTGGGGAATTCCAAAACTGTGACATTTGGGGACAGTGACAGTGCAGGGGTCAGGCAGGTTCCCAGTCAGGGAACACCCGGACTCGGTGGTGTCCAAGGCCTTTTCCAACCTCAAAAATTCCRCAATCCCAGGAATGTGGCAGAGATGAGGAAGGGGATGGGGTGTGCCCAAAATGCTCTGGAATTTTCACGGCTTTGCAACAAGTTCAGCCCAAAAAATTCTGCGATCCCAGGAAGGTGACAAAGATGAGGAAGGGGATGGGGTGTGCCCAAAATGCTCTGGAATTTTCATGGCTTTGCAAAAAGTTCAGCCCAAAGCTGAGGCCATCCCTGACCCYGAGGTGGGAGAAGGGGAAAAACTCGCGATTTTGGGGCTGGAAGGATTCTGGAATGCTTCAAATCCTGCCCAGATTGTTCCTGTGGGATCTGACATCCCAAATGCTGTGGGTTTAGGGTCAGCCCGTGGCAGCTCCGGGTTCCTGATCCTGCCCTCCATTCCCAGTTCTCCCAGTGCAATTGGGAATATCCCGGTGGTTCCCTGATGGGGCAAATTTGGGAAGTGGCACAGCTCCACCAGGAAGGTGAATTYGTGTTCCTGGGAAGACTGGGGCTGCTTCAGCCMCGTGGCTGAGGGRTTTGGGGTCTGGGACTTYAAATCYATTMTTTACCATAAATGTGTCAGTRTTTTCCATAAATTTKTCWRTATTTTGGGGTCCTGGGAGGTGACTTTATAGGACTTTAAATCTATTATTTACCATAAATGTGTCAGTGTTTTCCATAAATTTGTCAGCGTTTTCCAGAAATTTCTCAGTATTTGACCCCCGTGTCTGAATTCAGGTGGGRAAAGGGAATTTAAAGCCCTTCATGTGAAAAAATGAGAGTCATTACCAGATATTGACCCTCAGGTTCAGGCCCTGCGAGACTCAAACATCAAAACATTTCATCAAAAACGAAATGCTTCGATCTGGAMAAGAGACACTGAACACACCAATGTTAATTTTAATAAATAACTGAATTCAGCTGTGGCTTTTTCTACAGCAGAACACGCACAGGGCGACTTCTGGCAAAGCCTGTTTGGATTTTTTGGATTCATTTTCCTTTAAAAAGCATCAAAAACCCCCAAGCTGGGGTTTTAAARGTGAGCATTTGATAACAGAAATACAATTGGATTGATTTAAAAACGTGATTTTATTGACATTACTGAGAACAGAGTGAATTTTTGAGAAACCTCTTCTGAGCTAAAATTCGAATTTACCACGAGGAGCGAAGGGAAGCAGAATCCCTCGTTTGGGGTGGATTAAACCAGGGCTGGAAACAAAGCCCTGTGGGGGTGTTGGGTTGGATGTGGATGAACACCTGGCCTGAGCCAGATCAGAGCTGGGCTTTTCCTTCTCCCTCCAGAAACAGCCACTCCAAACTCTGAGGGAGAGCAGGGGGACAAAGGAAATGTTGGATCTGGTGRGRRGAWGGGATGGTGCCAGGGGAGCAAGGAGAGAAAAACAGGAAATGATGGATCTGGTGATGGTGCCAGGGGACCACAGGGAGAAATTAAGGAAATGATGGATCTTATGGGTGGAGAGGATGGTGCCAGTGGAGCAGAGTGGGAAAGGGAAAAAATGGTGAAGCGGGGTGAAAAAGACAGGAAATGTTGGATCTGGTGAGAGGAAGGGATGGTGCCAGTGGGGCACAGGGAGAAAAGAAGGAAATTATGGCAGGAAGAGGGGATGCAGGGGGAGCATGGAGAGAAAAACAGGAAATGATGGATCTTATAGGAGGAGAGGACGGTGACAGTGGGGCATGGGGAGAAAGGAAGAAAATGATGGACCTGGCAGGAGGAGGGGATGGTGCCAGTAGAGCAGAATGGGAAAGGGAAAAAATGGTGGAGCGGGGTGAAAAAGACAGGAAATGTTGGATCTGGTGAGAGGAAGGGATGGTGCCAATGGGGCACAGGAGAAAGGAAGGAGATGATGGATCTGGTGGGAAGAGGGCATGGCACTGGGGGGAGCAGAGTGGGAAAGGAAAAAAAATGGTGGAACAGGGTGACAAAGACAGGAAATGTTGGATCTGGTGAGAGGAAGGGATGGTGATAGGGGAGCACAGAGAGAAAAACAGGAAATGATGGATCTTATGGGAGGATGGGATGGTGTCAGTGGAGCAGAGTGGGAAAGGAAGGAAATGATGGATCTGGTGAGAGGAAGGGATGGTGCCAGGGGAGCACAGAGAGAAAAAGAGGAAATGATGGATCTTATGGGGGGAGAGGATGGTGCCAGTGGGGCACAGGGAAAAATGAAGGAAATGATGGAGGGAGGAGGGGATAGTGCTGGGAGAGCATGGGGAGAAAGGAAGAAAATTATGGATCTGGTGAGAGGAGGGGACAGTGCCAGTGGAGAAAAGTGGGAAAGGAAGGAAATGATGAAGCAGGGTGAGAAAAATAGGAAATGTTGGATGTGGCAGGAGGAGGGGATGGTGCCAGTGGAGCAAAGTGGGAAAGGGAAAAAATGGTGGAGCAGGGTGAGAAAGACAGGAAATGTTCAATCTGGCAGGGGTAGAGAATGGTGACAGGGAAGCAGAGTCAAAAAGGAAGGAAATGATGGCGAGAGGATGGGATGGTGCCAGGGGAGCACAGAGAAAAATGAAGGAAATGCTGGATCTGATGGATGAGGGGATGGTGGTGGGAGAGCAGAGTGGGATCAGCATCATTTGGTGGGGGTTCCTGTCATAATAGGGAAAGGAAAATGATCTATAATGATCTATAATGATCCATAATAATCCATAATGATCTGTACTGATCCATAAATCATCCCATATGGTTCAGAACTGGGTCCAATCTCGTTGAATATTCCCATTCACAGCCTTTCCAGGGAAATCCTGGTGGGAGTGATGCTGATGGGGCGATGCTGGGGATGCTGTTGGGATTCACTCTGGGAATGGAGAACTTTGGGGCAGAGCAAGCAAAACGGGGTTAGATTAATGGCTGAAAGAACAAAGTTCACCCAAAAACCAACCCAAACTCCTTAGGGAGGCTGAGGACCATGGCCAGGTCCTGACAGGCCAGAGGGAAGGAGTGGGAGGGGTTTGGAGGGTCTGGAATGATGCAGCCACGATAAAGGGATGTGGGAAGCAAGTGATGAGAAGGAATTTCAGTGAGGATGGGGAGGGGCTGGGATGGATTTCCCAGAGAAGCTGTGGCTGCCCCTGGATCCCTGGAAATGTCCCAGGCCAGGCTGGACGGGGCTTGGAGCACCCTGGGACAGTGRRAGMTGTCCCTGACCATGGCAGGGGTGGCACTGGGTGGMGTTTGAGGTCCCTTCCCACCCAACCCATTCCAAAATTCTGATCCTTCACACCCAAAACACTTTGGGTGTGGAACCTTCCCTTTGTGCGTTCCAGGTGACCTGAGCATCCCAGGGGAGCGGCMCCGGGGGAAAGAAGGGAAAAGCAGAGAGAGAGAGAGAGGAAGGACAGCCCTGGCCCAAGAGTGAGCTGGGGGTGAGTCTGGGCTCTGACCCGGGTTTGTCGTTCCACAGGAGGGACAATTGGCAGGATTTCCCCAGCGGGGCCTGCAGGGACCTGTGGCCATGATCCCCGGCCCATCTTCCCAGGAAAGCCCCGCTGGGAGCAGCTCTGCGTCCCGTGGTGGGTGGGAAGTGGCATTTTGGTCCCTTCCACAGCAGAAGCTGCTGTGTGTGACGCTCACGGCTTGGAAAGATGCTCCTGCTTCTGTTCCTGCTCCTGTTCCTGCTCCTGTTCCTTCTCCAGCTCCTGCTTCTGCTCCTGCTCCCGCTGCTCCTGCTCTTGTTCCCACTCCCATTCCCACCCCTACCCCTGCCCCAGCTCCTGCTCCTGCTCCTGTTCCCGCTCCAGGTCCTGCTTCTCCTCCTGCTCCTGTTCCCATTCCCACTCCCATTCCCACTCCCACTCCCATTCCCTATCCTGATCCCGTTCCTGCTCCCATTCCCTATCCTGATCCCAGTCCCGCTCCAACTCCTGTTCCCGCTCCTACTCCTACTCCCATTCCCGCTCCCATTCCCGTTCCCACTCCTGCCCCTGTTCCTGCTCCCCTTCCCGCTCCCATTCCCTATTCTGATACCACTCCCACTCCCCTTCCTGCTCCCATTCCCTATTCCGATCCCAGTCCTGCTTCAACTCCCATACCTGCTCCCATTCCTACTCCCATTCCCGCTCCTATTCCTTTTCCCACTCCTGCCCCTGTTCCTGCTCCCTCTCCTATTCTTGCTCTTGTTCCCACTCCTGCCCCTGCTTCTCCTGTTCCCACTCCTGTTCCCACTCCTGTTCCCACTCCTGTTCCCATTGCTGTTCCCACTCCCATTCCTGCTCCCATTCCTTCTCCTGTTCCTTCTTCTTCTGCTCCTATTCCCGCTCCTGCTCCCATTCCTGCTCCTTTCCTGCTCCTTCTGCTCCCGTTTCCGCTCCCGCTCCTGCCCCTGCTCCCGTTCCTGCTGCCGTGTGTGAGCCAAGAGCCGAGCGTGGAGCGGAGAGGGGAGCAGAGTTCAGCAGCAATGAGGCATCGGGTGGCAACCTCCACACCCAGGGTAATGAACACTCTGCGGGCTCCTCGGAGCTCCCTGGGAGGGAACAGCCTCAGCCAAGCTCCGTGTCCTGCCAGGGGGACGTGCAAGGGACCGTCCTGGGGGTGTCCCAGGGTCCCCGTTCCTGCGGGGTTGGGATTGACCGGTTCTCCCCCGGGTCAGAAACCCGCCGGGCACAGGGAGAGCTGGGGACAGGAGGTGGGTGGGACCAGCACAGCATCTCCCCGGGAGAGGAGTCGACTTCAGCGCCCCAGGAGAAACGAAGGGACAGAGGGGACAGGCGAGATGCTCCTCTGGACAAGCGCTAGAACCACACCAGAGGTGTCCAGCTCCTCTCTCGGCCCAGGGATGGTTTGGCTACACCTTCTCGGACATCCCCCTGGGCAGGGTCTGGGGGGAGTGCAGCTCCACGGACTGGCGCCGCCGGACCTCGCGCTCGGCCCAGTCCTGCTCGGGCTCGCAGCCCTTGAGGATGGCCAAGCGCTCCGAGAGGGTTTTGCTCTGCGGGAACAGCACGTAGTTGTAGAGGATGGAAGCTGCTGCGGCCCCGATCAGGGGACCCACCCAGAACACCTGGAGAGGAGAGAAGAGCGGGGTGAGTGAAATCCAGCCCGAGTTTGGAGGAACTGGGATCTCTGAGGGGCATTCCAGGCGCTTGGGCTCATTCCTGGCAGCAAAACACGAAGCCATCGCTCTGCTGGGGCCATCGCTGGGGATCTGAACTACCCCGGAAGGGCATGGATGATCCCAGCCATCCTCCTCCTCCTCCTCCTCCTCCAGCAATCCATGAGTGGGTAGGAAAATGCTCCTCCCAAGGATCCCACATCACTCAGCACGTTCATGACGGGCAGAGCTCTGAGCGGAGGGGGAAAGGAGGAGGAGGAAGAGGATGAGGAGGAGGAGGAAGAGGCACCAGCCTGGGCCGGACACCTCAGGACACATCACAGCTCTGCCTGCAGCCGGGCTCTTTGCAGATGGAAAAAATAAAATCATGGAATCTCCTGAGCTGGAAAARACCCACAAGGATCCTCAAGGTTCAGCTCCTCGCCCCTGCTCAGGACAACCCCACCAATCCCTGGGAACATGGTCCAAACACCCCTGGAGCTGTGGCAGGCTCAAAACTGCAGCCATCCCCTGGGGAATGATCCCAAAGGTGTAAAAAATTCCAGGAAAATTTCCCAGGACTGGAAACAGCTCCACGCTCCACTGGTTTTATTCCCTGAACTCGGTCGTGTCAACAGACCTCACACCCTGCTGCTGTTGCAACGCTCCCGGTTCGGAGTTTGGAGTTTGGAAAAGCCAATTAAGCAGSCGGCAGCCCCACCTCCTGCTCCTAATCTCGGCATCTCTGCTCGGGCTGGGAGCTGGCATGGCAATGCTCACAATCTGGCTGGCTCGGCGAGTTTCGAGGAACGCCGTGGCAGTTTKGGGGGGCCTGGTCCAACCCAAACCCCAAAACCGCGTTCTCACCCAGTGGTCGGTGAAATCTCCGACGACGACGGCGGGGGCGAAGGACCTGGCGGGGTTCATGGAGCAGCCGGTGTAACGGATCTGCCGGGAATACCACATCAGCGTTAAGACCTTTTACCACATTTTAAAAAAAAATATTGGGGTGTCATCGGGGTGACTCATTCCCTGCGCTGCTGCTTCGCCCTGCAGCATTCCCGTTCCGGGAAAAGGGATTCGGGGAGCAGCCACCACCTGAGTCAGCACTGTGAGCGAGGTTCTGAGTGTGGTGTCACCCCGAGGATTGCGGGGATGAGCTCCAAATCCTGCAGAAAATTCCCTTTCCTGACTCTGAGGATGGGAGAGGAACGATCTGTGGGTATGGGGG